TATTGTAACCCCTCGATGCAGCCACACACCAAAATGGAAGTCAGTAAATGACGTATTTTTCAAGTTGTGCTCACAACGTGCACGGACAGAGTGTTTCTAATTCCTCCTCTTTGTTCCACAATGGATGACAGGAAGAAGCTGCAGTTAGACTGAAGGAAAAACACCAGCGTCTGTCCACTTATTCACTGAGTTCATTGATAAGACGTGAGTTTGGGAGTTGACTCAAACCAAGTGCAGCCAAAAAGAATATCTTCCACCAACAAACATCCATCCATCCATTTTCTTTACCCGCTTATTCCATTTTGGGTCATGGGGGTCGCCGGTGCCCATGTCCAGCAATCACTGTGCGAGGGGCGGGGTACACCCTGGACGGGTCGCAAGTCCATCACAGGGACACAAAGAGACAAACGAGACAAATAACCATTCACTCTCTCACTCACACCTAGGGACAATTTAGAGTTAACAATCAGCCTAACATGCATGTTTTTGGTCTGTGGGAGGAAACCGGAGTACCCGGAGAAAACCCACACATGCACGGAGAGAACATGCAAACTCCACCCAGAAAGGCCCCTGGACCGGGGTTTGAACCAAGGACCTGCTCGCTGAGATGCAGCAGCTCTACCAGTTGCGCCACCGTGCTGCCTACCAACAAACATGAAATTACTAAAGTAATTTCATGTTTGTTGTTTATTAATTGCCACAAATTATTCTGAATTTTTCCCAGCAAGTCATGAATTATTTATTTGTATTCATCATATATTATTACATCAGATTTAAATTCAGTCCATGACACAAAGTTCAGTGAGCCTTCCACCTGATCAATGGGGACAAAATAAAAACGAAATGAAGAAAGAATAGACTGAATTTATGTTTTCATTGTTCAAACAGGAAATATTCTAATTCCAAGTGTAACATATTTAATTACTAAAATATTGTTGAATTGACGACAACAATATTGTGACTGAAAAAAAAACCCAAGCTTTTTCTTTATTAATTTTAAAATTTGAGAGTTTCATTTTCGTGTTTTCAGATTTGATTCGTTCACCTCTGCATGCAGAACTATAGTTCACAGTTTGTGTTGAAGAAGGACTCGGTGTTGACGGACACGAACGTCATGAAGCAGCAGCGAGAACAAAGCCTCTCTGGAGAGAGTCCGACAGCCGGAGGCTGAGCACCAATCAATAACCAAACAACCCCACTGACCAGGAAGTCAGTGCAGTCCTCTGAGGAAGAGCCGACTCTGTCACAAGGTCACCTGAAGAAGGTGAAGGTCACAGAGCAACACGGAGGCAGAGGTTTGATCCTTCTCGTTCAGATTCCTTTTCCAGCAGCTGCTGCAGGTTTCTTCAGAGAAACAACAACTACAATAATAAAAAAAACTTTATGTCTGTGAGAAGCAGACACCTGAACAGGTGCATAAATGAGGGCCAGTGTTTTAAACAATGGCTGCACTGATGTCTGCCATCTCTGGAGGATGTGAATGGTCACTGTAGTTTTGGTGATGAGTGTTTTTCTGGACTGGAATTGAACAGAGAATGTAAGTAAACCTAAATGTTTTTGGTGCGAGATATTCAGGTAGGTGGGAGTTAGACTGTGGAGAAGAACAGCATAAAGTGACAGATCCTGGCGAGCGGAGGGAGCAGTTATTTCCATGGCCAGGTGCAGTGGTGGAGCCAGGGGGTGGCCAATGGTGGCCTTGGCCACCAGAGATTAATCTTTGGCCATCCCAATCATTTTACTTTTAAGCAACACAAAAAAATAATAAAAATTGAAAGCAGTTTTCGCAACAGACAGTAGTTGTTTTACATGTACTCTATATATGGTGGTGGCACTGGTATCTGATGCATTTGTAATGTTGGGAGATGCACTGGTGCGAAAGGGGGGAGGAGTCTGGGGTCCCCCCCCCCCCCCCCCCTAGAGAATTTTGAATAAAGTAGATGCCATTTCCTGCATTCTGGTGTATTTTAATGGTTGTTAAACATCTATGATTAGCTACATAAGTAAACACTTGATTCAATAACTATTAGAGAGCACGGGACAACAACATGTAGCCTGAGCAACAGCTCGCTACTCTCAAACATCCAAAACCCCACCACCACTACCACCACACACACACGGGTCGGCAACTGCCGGCACTAACTTTGCGCTAAGCTAGCCCGCAACAGAGAGCTACCTCCCACTGTGAGCACCCTATCAAGACAAGAGACCTCGGAGAAACACTGCATGAGTTGTTGTAGGTAACCAGGAAAACCCGGAGTGGATTTTTTGTGGTTTCACTATTCTTCTATTGAGCAAGTGGAATTGATTAGTTCAAGGAAGAAATAGAAACATCTATCCATCCATCCGTTATATTTTACCCGCTTCTTCCTTTTTGGGATGTCCAGCCATCACTGTGTGAGAGGCGGGGGACACCCTGGACAGGTCTCCAGTCCATCAGAGGGACACAAAGAGACAAACGAGACAAACAACCATTCACTCTCTCACTCTCACCTAGAGACAATTTAGAGTTACCAATCAGTCTAACATGCATGTTTTTGATCTGTGGGAGGAAACTGGAGTACCCAGAGAAAACCCACGCATGCACGGAGAGAACATGCAAACTCCACCCAGAAAGGCTTTTGAACCAGCACCCTTCTCGCTGAGAGGCAGCAGCTCTACCAGTTGCGCCACCGTGCTGCCTATGAAATAGAAACAGTGCTGGGTGAACTAATATTTCATGGTAAATGTGTGTGTGTTTGTGTGTGTGTGTGTGTGGGGGGGGGGGTGGGGGGGGGGGGGTGTTAGGATGTTGTCGTTGCTTTTGTGTCCAAGTTGTAAAAAAAAAAAAAAAAAAAAGCAGTTTTATTCTGAAAACTGAGCGTCGCGGCAATTACGGTTCAACCTCGACAGTCATGTAAAGCCTGATCTCACTTTTATAATCCTGAAGCTGAAGGCTCGAGTGCAGATTGTATCTTTCGTAAATCATTTGTTTGCAGCCTAAAGTAATTTTTTTAAACATTTTTTTGTTTTTAGTAAAGGTGATTATTTGGGGTGGCCATTTTGAACCAAACTGACTCCAAAATGTGATTGATTATAGATAAATATCCAGTTACTGATTCCTGAGAGGATCATTAAAATCCTTCATGTAGTTCATGAGAAATTTTGCTGACAGACTGATGAATGCAGTTTTCCTCATGCAGTTGTTTGTGTTAGTTTATTGTTGGTTCTGATTGTTTTTGGACCCGTTGTGGTCTCTATGCTGCCGCCAGAGGACAACAGTCTGAGCAGCGTTCTATTTTATTCACTGGATTAACTCTACGGGAACAATCAGCCGTGTGTTTATTTTTGACCGTGTTTTAATTAATTAATTTCTTTATTTAGGGACCATCAATAAATATGATTTTTTTTTCTGCAAAGCCTAAAAGTGCTTTTGTTTTATTTTATCAGAACTTTTTCAGATGCTCACATTACCTCACAGTAACTTTTCTACACTCTCGTGTTCCTGAGAGGAAAAACATCCACATTAAAATAAACAGTAAACAACTTTTAATGACACATTTATCAGAACATACATGATGCATTCCTCTCTTTGATGTTTTTATTTTTACCATGACCCCTAAACTTTAGACATTTCTATTCACTCACTAGATGTTAATAAATAAGATAAATTAATTTTGATCCCATCAGGCAGGTGGAGCGAGTCCAAACATCAAAAATATCATTCACTCAAAATCCTGCAACGCTGATGCTTTTTGTTTGTTTGTTTGTTTGTTTGTACACATCAGCAGTTTGTCATGTTTGAATCTGCACGCTTCGTGATAACGCGCTTCCTGATTATGATGCAGCTGTGAACTGTCAACTGGTGGCTCATGGACCACTACAAGTTGGTTGGAGTTGGCTTTTCCAGCCAGTGGGGGTGATATTATAAAACTATTATTAACATATATTGATATTTTTACATTTTAATACAAAGAAAAATACCAGATCCATGTAAAGAAAAAAACCAATATATAATTTTTAACTATTTTATAAAAATTAAAACACTGAACTCTGCAGGCCCATGTGCGTTTTCTTACCTGTTGAAGAATTAATATTCCTTCTTAAAGCATAAATTAAAGACAATATAAAATTATGCCAGTTTGTTGGATATCAGTTACATTTTTAAAGAAAAATAAATACTTTTGTTTACTTTGAATTTGTTTTTTTTAATGTGTTTTATTCTAAGTGTCATCAAATATTCCTTCTGAGCAACTTGCCTTAAAGATACTCTAAAACATTCTGGTGGATTTGAGAGAAAGATCAAGCTGACAGACTGGAAGTGTCAACAAACTACTAGCACGATGTAGTACACATGTTTTACTCTGTGTACTTATACTATTCTTCACATATTTGAAAATGACAGGACATCTGTTAAACTAACCATTTTCACTGTTGGTAATATTTAAATAAAATTCAGTTTTATTTTAGTTTTGTCAAAACCTGAAAGATCTGCAGAGGGACCAAAGAGCCAGACACAGAACCAGATCAACAGAACCAGATCAACAGAACCAGATCAACAGAACCAGACCAACA